ATATAGCCTAAGTATTAATTAGTGATAAGTATCTAGCTGCGCTCCTTATTAAAGCTTTATACCTTATAGTTGTAGAAGTTAATTATAATACGCTCTCTAGGTCCTTTACTATTTGGCCTAGCTTCTCGCCTAATACGCTATTTCGACTTTACTCTACTATAGGCGTTATATTTAACTATAGGTATACCCTTAATGCGTACCCCCTTAGCTTACTACACTAGGTGCTTAAGTGCGCTAGGTCCTAGATGGCCTAATTGCTTATACTATATCTCTATACTAGTAATAGCTACCCTACACTTTATGCATGAATTAATCTTATATATAATAAAGGTTGTACTACTACTTATAGTATATAATTGCCCTTAGTCCATAGGTCTATTTTTAAGTACCCATTAACCATATAGTTCTTAAAGCTCCGTAATCACTATATTATCTACTTATTTAATTGCTGTGGGCTCTAACTTGGTATCCTACTATAGTCCTTGACGTCTGAGTAGGTGAAACGACACTAGGTTATAGAGTAGATTAGGGTAGTATACCATATTATCTAGCCTAATTATGCTGTTGCTGCGCGTGCTCTTTAAACGTATATAGATACTGCCGTATCCTTATATCCAAACTTGCGTATTCCCAGCCCATATAAAGTTGCCTAGCCTTAGTGGCCATAGTGTAAGAAATCGATTAACGTTATTAAAGATATGGCAAGTTGTGCCCAAGTTGAGGATCACTAAGTTGTGGAGTGGATACGTGTTTGGCTTAGAGAGAGTTGCTATATTAAAGCTTATATGGACTAACGTGACTTTATGGCCATCTAGTCACTTATCACTTACCTCTATTAATCGGGTCGGCGTTGGCATATGGGACTATTTAATATGAGGTGTTTGTGTTTGTAATCTACTTTGACCTTGAATTAGCCCTTAAAATGCGCTGTCATGCTTATATTTAAGCTTAATTAGCTTGCTAATAGCTGGTCTGGGCTTCCACCATGCAGGTGCTATATCCTCATGAAGGTAGTAGTAGTTAGCTGCATGGCCTTATTCACATGCTGGGCATAGGCCTGTGGTGTTAGAAGGCTCATTATGAGATGGCCAAGAGGCCCCGTATGGTTGCGCTCTCTTTCGTTTTAAGGGATATCCCTTATTAGATGGCGTGTGTTTAGCATAAGAGGCGTCCCTATTATTGCCCTAAGTGGTTTCACCACTATTAGTGAGAAAGCTTCCATATAGATCACTACTAGATTAATCTATAGTTATGAAGGCTGCTTTATGCTTCCCTTTTATGCTTAGATAATTAGCCATTATGTGTTCTTAGAACCGTTTCATTATCTCCTTTCTAGTTATGCCGGCGGCGTATCTACTATAGTCTTAGAAGGCTGTAGCCCATATGGGTGCCACTTTATTAATGGCTACTAGAAAGTCCTTTATAATTACATTTAGTTGCGTTACTTTAGCGACCCTATAGGTCTCTGCTTCTGTAGCTGCCTAATTATATTTAGTAAGCTAGGTTTCCTATTAATTAACACTTCTTATTGCTTTTAGAGCTATAAGATATCTATCTCTAGTGTGCTCTTATTTAAATTGCTCATTAACGCTAATAGTAAGCTTGAGACTTATAACCTATTAGTAGAGTGGCTAATTAGGTAG